CATTAATTTCATTATAATTAATGATATTTAAATTTCATTGATCTAATTTTCAACATGATAAAATTTCAAAATAAAGATAAAATTAAAGTTTAGAGTCTCTGTTTCAATAAAAGAGGTAAAACTTGAGGAGTTTAAGTACTCTTTTTCTTCTGTACAAAAAAAGTACTATTTTTTTTTCTAAATAAAATATTAGAAGTGTTTTTAATTTTATTTTCCAATCAAAGATAGATTTTCATCTTGTGTAGATCTTCATAGACTCTTATCATATATGTTAAGGAAATAACACTCTCATTTTAATAAAAAAACTAATACTAAAAGTCTCGTAAGGGATATGTAATACCTATATAGGTTTTCTCCTTGCTTTTGCTTATTTTAAATATTTCACTTGACTATAAATAAAGAAGGAGACATCACGAACGAAACAAGAATCCAGGGTTTTTTCCTCCGCCAGACAAGTTAGCGTTTTGGCCGGTGTCGTTGTCAGAGTGCGTTTGTTTGTTTTGTCTTATGATAATTTGTGTTAATGAACGTATAGGAACTGAAAATTCAGGAGAGGGATGGATACGAGAATGAAAAGATGGCGTTATGTTTTTATAATGCGGTGAGGGAGTGGCTGCTGTAGCTAACTCTCTTCCCTTCTTTTTTTTTTTTTAATGAGTAGGAAGTTAAAGTACATAAATTACAACCTAACAAAACGTGTTTAGAAAGAATGATCTTTTTGTGAATGAATGGTCTAATTAAACTTTATACTTGTTTAAAAAGAAATATAAATTCTAATTTCTTAGGTAATAAACTCTAAATTGTTTAAGAAAAATACAAATTGTTTTTAGTAATTTTTGTTAAATAACATGCAAGTGATTAAAAGTCAACTAATAAGAATTATCTCAATTCTTAAGAAATAAGTGTTAATTATCATCATTTTACCAATATAATAATTTTAAAATAATTTTTTAACATCAGTTAAAATTATAAAATCATGTATTAATAGTCAAAGCAAATATTAAGTATAATGTAAAAGTGATTAACCGAATAAAAATAAATGTATTGAATGAGAATATAAAAGATTACATGAATACAATTATATTAATTTTCAACAATAGAAACTTAACCACTCATGACTAAAGATTACATACAAGAAGAGAAACTTTGAGTGATCTATAATTACAAGAGTGACTTCACAAAAACTCTCTTTAATCTTTCTAAAATTGTGCTAAGAAAAGTAGTGATATAGAGACTTCTTAAAAACCTTATTTTTATAACATTTTCTAATGGATTTTTAAGTTAAGTATGTTTGCTTAAAGTGCCCAATTAGCTTACTTTGAGTAAGTTTATTCGATTTTCCTTTATAGTGTTTTTGGATGGAAAATTTAAATAGAGTAATTCATTTATTTGAAGAATTTCAAATTCTTTGAGGTGAAATACCTTGTTTGGATAGAGAATTTATAAGAAATTTGAAATTAAAGTATTTGTGAAATTAATTGACATAGTAGAATTTAAAATTAAAAAAAAAAAGTAAGAATTTGAAATTTTTCGTATTTTTTTTTCTTATTTCACTTATATATTTTATCTTATCTCTTATCTCTTCATGTTTTTAATTATTGAATATTTAAAAATATTTTTAAAATTATTAAATATTATCTAATATTAATTTTTAAAATTATTATAAATATTTAAAAATTAGCTAATATTTATTTTTATAAAATTTAATTTAAAAATATCAACATATAAATATATTTTTAAAATTAATTTTACCATGGTGGAATAAAATTATCATATCCAACCCAACAATTTAAAATTTGAAAAATTTGAATTGACTTATCCAAACAAAATATTTCAAGAATGATAGAAATTGAAATTAAAGTAATTCAAATACCAAGAATTTAAAATTCCTCATCCAAACACACCATTAGTGTTTTTTGACTAACTCACTCAAAACATTCATGTGATAATTTTAGACAAGTTAACTCTAACTCTAAACGATTAATTTGTAAAATAAAATTAACCTTTGACAAAGTGTTTTGTGGCAACATATACTTATGTATTAATTAGAAGTTAAGTAATCATTTTAGGAGGTACTATAACTATTTATAATACTATGTTAACATGTCTCATCTCTAAAAAAAAACATTATAAATTATTAACAAATATTATTTATTTATTTTAAAATGAACATTAAGGATAAAAATAATACATTTAATTTTAGAAAGATAAAAAAATTATTTATTTTATTTTTTCTTTTCTCTTCCTTCTCATCCCTCTCTACTTTGTCTTTTTTCTCTTTATCTCTTCTCTCCATTTCTCTCATTTTTCTCTTTATCTTTCCTATCTTTCTCCCCTCTCTCTCTTCTTTTTATCTCTCTCCTCTCTACATTATTAATGTAAATATATTTTTAATTATTAACTATTTAATATTTTTAAAATAATTAAATATTTTAAAATTGACTAACGGTAAAGTTTAATATTAAAATTTGATATATATATATATATTTATAATATTTAAAATATATTTTATATATGGTGAAAATTAAATTATCTTATCTAAATTAGAAATTTAACATTTCATAAATTTAAATTATCTTATATAAACAAAAAAAACTCAATGAAAGATAGAAAAACTTAAATTAAAGCAATTTAAATTTCTATAATTTTAAAATCCTTCATCCATACATTACTATAGGATTTTCTCGGGGGCTACCAACCATTGGGCCTCCTTTTTTAGAAAGTATTTATTGATAATAATGACTTTGATTAACTATATTTTCATATTAAAATTAGTCCACTTAGGGTCGGCCCCTTAGGCTTAGAAGTAAGAGCAATTGCCCTGGGCTCATTGTTAATAAATACTGCAAAAATAGACGCAGTTATAATTTTCCAAAAATAATTATCCTACTTTTGTTAATTTTTCAACTTCCCTTTATTTTCTTATTCAGTCTTTAATTAATTTAATTATAAATTTCAAACTTTTAACATATCAAACATTTAATATTCTTCAAAAAATAAAAAAGTACGTTGTGCAAAACAAATGAGACAATAACGTTCATAAATAACGAGGACTATGGTCAATGCAAACTAATGACATATCAATCTAACTTATAATTCTTAATCTGCCTTGCCTTTTGCTACTTATAGAAACATATATACACTAATATTTTAGTATGCATTGTGCAACTTAAATGTTTATTACTCATAAATAAAAGTTATATTAAGTTAAAAATATAAATAAATATTATATTTTAATGTATAAATTATATTTATATTTTTTAAAAAATAAAATTATATTTTAACATAATTATATTTTCTTCAAATTCGTAGTGATTTCGTTGTTATAAACAGAACCGTAAAATTTTGTTGTTATAAACAGGCATAACGTTATTCTTTTTATTTTTTATTAACGGGAAAAAGGCACTCCGTGTCTATATTATATTGAAAAAATAAATAAATAAAAAAAAATGAGAAGTTACTCATAAAAAGGTAATTATTAAAAAATAAATAAAGAATAAAATGGTCCATATAAAAATGAAAAGATATAATAATTATACATAGACAAATATTAGAAGTTTTAGAAGATATAAGATTTTTTTTACATTTAAGGTATAATAGTAATAAGTAATGTAAAATTATTTATACGATTGTATTATTTATCTAGTGGGGTCGAGGCACTTCGTATTGGATAATTCATGCAAAGAGGATATGTTTATACAAATTGAAAGGAACAAAAATAGGTCGTGCATATTTGTTCCTCCATTCGTTTCTATCATATATGTTTTCTTGTAAAATTATTTATACGATTGTATTATTTATCTAGTAGAAAAAAGGCACTACGTGTCTGCATTGTATTAAAAGAAAAAATAAAAAAATAAAAAAAAATAAAAAGTTACTCATAAAAAGATAATTATTAAAAAATAAATAAAAGATAAAATGGTCCATATAAAAATGAAAACCAAAAATAGTTATTGACAATGATATCCCCTTTATATATTAACTAGCAGGAAAAAGGCACTTCGTGCCTATATTGTATTGAAAAAATAAAAAAATAAAAAAATAAGAAGTTACTCATAAAAAGGTAGTTATTAAAAAATAAATAAAGAATAAAATGATCCATATAAAAATGAAAAGATATAATAATTATACATAGACAAATATTAGAAATTTTAGAAGATATAAGATTTTTTTTTACATTCAAGGTATAATAGTAATAAGTAATGTAAAATTATTTATACGATTGTATTATTTATCTAGTGGGGTCGAGGCACTTCGTATTGGATAATTCATGCAAAGAGGATATGTTTATACGAATTGAAAGGAACAAAAATAGTTCGTGCATATTTGTTCCTCCATTCGTTTCTATCATATATGTTTTCTTGTAAAATTATTTATATGATTGTATTATTTATCTGGTAGAAAAAAGGTACTACGTGTCTGCATTGTATTAAAATAAAAAAATAAAAAAATAAAAAGTTACTCATAAAAAGATAATTATTAAAAAATAAACAAAGGATAAAATGATCCATATAAAAATAAAAACCAAAAATAGTTATTGACAATGATATCCCCTTAATGTATTAATATAGATTTATTAGTTTGAAGTTTTTAAATTTGATTAAAAATATTTTTTCTAATTTTTTAAAATAGAAGGGTATAATGGTCAAAAAAAAGTGGCGACCAAGGTAGTTACTAAAAATGGTATCTCCTTTATATATTAGTATAGATATAAATTTATTAGTTTGAAGTTTTTAAATTTGATTAAAAATATTTTTTCTAATCTTTTAAAATAAAAGGGTTAATGGTCAAAAAAAAAGTAGAGACTAAGATAATTATTGAAAAGGATATTCTCTAATATAGATTAGTATAGATTTTTTTGAGATAAAGCAAGGTCGATGCAGTATAATAGTCCATACTAGACCCCACACGAGCCCAATAAAGGCCCATAATTCAAAAGGCTCAAACCAACGGCTACTTCCTTTTCAGAAAAACGCGTACTCGTCAACGATCATATTCACTCTGTTTTATAAACCCCACAACTTTGTTCTCTGCAATTCGTACTACTTTTTATTCTGCGCAAATTCTCCTAACCATTTAACTTTTGGTATTATTAGGTTATCTTGAATCCATTTTTGAAATGGAAACTCCATCACATACTTTTGCAGCTTCCAGTGAGTGATTTTTCTCTTCTTCCACAAGCTGGTAAAAGTTCAATTTTTCATCATTCCAAACTAACCCAAAAGAAAATCATTTGTTTGTCTTTTGCAGAAAAGATTGAAGATTCTGAAAAGAACGTGTCAAAATCGAAGTCATGGGGGAAACAAGAAGATCAATCTGCACTAATAGACATAACCAACGATTCCCCAATTGTGGGGCTTGCGAATGGAGCAATTGTTGAAACCCCGTTGGCGATGAAAAGAGGAAGCAGAGTGAAGCACACGCCAGGGTCAGGGGAAGCCTTGCTGAGGGGTCAAGTGAAGACCCTTTTGCTGAAGGTGGAAGAAGAAGAGGTTGAGCTTTCCAAGTTCTCACTTGAAACCATGCCACCGAATAAGCCTCAAATTCTTAATCTTTATGGTTTACCTTCCGTTATCCCATTGATACCTCAGGTTCGTTGTGTCTTTAAACAATTGATAACACGTTCTTAGACAACTAAATAGAGGATAAATTAGGGATGTTTGATTGAAATTGTTATCAAAGAAATGACATCTTATTTTTAAAGATTTTATCATCATAGAATGTGACAAAAAAAAGTCATTATTTTTTCTAACATAATTTAAATTAAACATGTGTTTAATTGTTTGATGAAACCCATGACTAAATAGAGTGTATCGAAGAAAAAAATAAGACAAGTGATCTATGTGACAGAAAGAAAAATAGAATGGAAATGAGATAGAAAAAGAAAAAATGTTACATTTATGATTATCTTTTAATTTTGATGCGTCGTAATCTCATGATGTTTATAATTAATGTTATGTCATAATAACTTTGGTGGTAGGTGGCGAATCATGTGTTTGAAGGAAAGAATGAAGAGAATTCTGAATCTGAAAAGAGTCTTATAAGCCGGTCCCTTTTACTGGACTTCTCGGACAAATCTCAAATTTCGAATGCCTCAGAAGAATGTTTCTCTGAGCTAAGTTATGAGGGAGTTGGTAGCTGTAGCATAGAGCAGTCCACAGAAGATGATGATGCTTCTATCTGGTCAACACAGGTCAGTGCAAGCACCCATGATGAAGAGGATTATAGTGAAGAAGAGAAAGAGTATGATGAAGGAGAGGTGTTGCTTGATGAACTGTGTGAAGTGTTGAACAACATTAGCATGAATGCAGGAAAGCACACAAGGTTTGTTTACAATAATGATGATGAGATTGTGAAAGAAGAGGTGGAAGAGAACTTTGGTCACAGTGCTTCTTCACCTAACATTTTGCGATTGAAAGGGTTGCCAACACCAAAAGGGAAACACTTGCGCTTTTATGATGAAGAAAAAGGAGAATCTGTTTTGTGATTCATGGTGGACTTTTTGGCATGTTCGTGAATGCTCCAATAAATGTCATTTAAAGGAGGGAATCACTTATTCTGGTTCTTGTTTCTTTTGGTCTCCATGGAGTTCAAATCAATAGATTCTTTGGATTTTTCTTTTGTTAGGGAAATGGAAAGCCAGTGACCACAATTTAGTGGTCACAATCAAATGGTTATGTGAAACTGTTTGCATTTTTATAAAACTATCTTTCTTTTATTTTTTATTTTTTACAATGAGTAAGAATTGAAAAAGAAAGATAATAAAGTAAACTAAACAAAAAAAACTATCATCAGGCTAGTTTACTAGATGAGTAGCTGCCAGCCACCAAAGTGCCTAAATCATACACAAGCAACTCTTTCATTTCTTTCTCTCACGAAGGACACAAGTAAGCACACAAGTCCGATTGGAATCGAGATCCTTTCAATTTCTTGTTCATTTTTATAATTTTGAGTGGAGGCCACTTTAATCATTTTTTGAATTAATATTTAATGTCATTTATATAATTAAAATTATAGAAATAGACAAGAAATGAAGAGAAAGAAACAGAGAAGATCAAACTCATTCAATTTCTCACCATTATGTCTTTAATATGATACTATAAACCTACATTTATGATGGTGACACGTTTGACCGAACTAAATAGAATAAGCAAATTAAAATTTCATTAAATGTTATGTATTTAAACTCAACTTAATTTATTCAATTAAATGAGTAATTATTTTTTTTAATGAAAGGTAAGAAAATATTTTTTGTATTTCATTAAATATTTTTATATTTTGAAAGTTATCATTAAAAAAGTATATTTTTTAATAATAATGATTTTTAATATTATATTTTACTAATATTTCCATAATTTCTTATACATAATTCATTTAACTAAATGAATATTATTTTTATTGATTATTATAATAAAGATTACCTATATCTCTATATATTTAATAAAAGACATGTTTTTCTTTTAAGCATTTCTTTAAACTATTTTGCCGTTATTAATAACTCTAAATTACTCACCCTTCAATGGCAAACTATCCATTAACTTTGATTTTTTTTTAAAAAAAATAAACATACAGAGATACAACATACAAGTATCACTTTTCTCCTAATTATAATAAAGATTTTTATGATCAAATATTTTAAGACATTAACAGAAGAGGAAGTTAACTTTAAGTGGTAATTTTAAAAACTTTGATGTTTAATGTTTGTTTGAATGAGGTTGATTTGCTAGAAATCTGTAATTGAAAAAAGATTCCCATACCTATGCCTTGCATTGCTAACACAAGAGAGGGATTAACAAATGGGTTCTAAATTATAATTAAAATACTTAATTTTTACATAGTGACAGTTTTTTAAATGTCCGTATTTGCATTACCCTAAGAACCTAAATTTCTACGGGTTTAACTACTCCTGGAGCAACTTTTCAAAAGTTGAGTAAAGATTTAACATTTAAACAAAACTTATCCACAATATTTACTTTTCAATCACGAGAGAATTTCAACATGAATCATAGATATTCCTAAAATCATGTCGTACACGAGTATGCATCCGTATCTAGTACACATTAAATATATAGTATTAATACAAACTTGAATCAACTCCACCATCACTGCCATCACAGGAGGAACAGGACTCGATGCAAACCCAACATTAACTTGACAACTGTACCTGCCTGAGGGTACACTCGTAATCTTCAGGG